AAAAAAAAAAAAATTTAACACTCCAGATTGAACAGAATACCCCAGATGTCATCTGAGCAGAGTACAGTAGATAACCACCTCATTCCTGAAAGCTGCGACCCCTCTGACACAGCCCAGTAATACATTACCTTTTTATCTTCCACATGCCACTCGTGAACTTGGCCATCCTCGAACCTCCCATGGCTCCCCCTCCCCACACTCTCTCAGCTGAGAAGCTTGCCTCATACTTCACAGAAAAAAATGGAGGCCATTCACCGTGAATTCCCTCTTCTCCTCTCTTCCTCATCTCCTACTGCTCAGATGCCTTTTGCCCCTCTCTCTTCCTTGTCGCCTGGCTTCGCGTGATGAAGTGGTCACATTCCTTACCAAAGCTAATCCTTCTACTTGTTCAAGAGATCCCATTCCATCTTGTCTCTTCCAGGATATGGCCCCCTCTGTCATCCCCACTTTCTCACTTATTTTTAATCTCTCCTTATCTCCTGGATCATTCTCTACTAACCTTAAACATGTGCCTGTCGCCCCAATGCCCCCAGAACCTTCACTTGATCCTTCAGCTCCTGCTATCATCCTATATCTCTTCTGCCCTTTGTAGCTAAACTCTTCAAAAAGGCCGTCTATAGTAGGTGTCTCCACTTTCTCTCATCTCACTCCTCTTAACCCCTTATGATGTGGCTTCTAATTTTACCACTCCACCCAAACTGCTCTCTTCAAACTTACCAATGGTCCCTTAGTTACCAAATCCAATGGCCTTTTCTGAATCCTCATTCTCCTTGACCTCTCTGAAGCCTTGGACACTGCTGATCAGTTTCTTGAGTTTATCCCCTCAATCAATTCCAAATCCATTTAATAGTACTTTTGACAGGCCCATGTAGCTATATCTCTTCCGTAGAATTTTAGTAAATCATTTTACAAATTCCCCAGAATTCTCGAAGTTTTAAACTAATGTTCCTTTTTTCTCCTTATTTGAATGGAAAACTGGCACTCCCCATGATACTCTCATCTCTTTAGGTTTTCTGGACACCTCTCCTGGTTTTCCTGCTGCTCCCGTCTTCTTTGCTACATCCTCATCCAGATCACGCCTTCCAGAGGTTGTCCTGGGCCTCTTTCTTCTCTTCTCCCTTTATTTTATCACTTGTTGATCTCATTAGCTTCCATGGATTTAATTATCATCTCTATGCTGATGATTCTCAAATCTACTTTTCCTGCCCCAATCTTTCTGCTGACCTCCAATTTCACATCTCCAACTGCCTTTCAGACATCTCAAACTAAATGTCCTGTAGACATCTTAAACTCAGTATGGCCAAAACAGAACCCACTATCTTTCCCCCTAAAGCCTCCTTGCCCCTCCCACCTTCCCTCTTACTGTAAAGGACAACACCATCCTCCCTTTATCTCAGGTTCCCAACCTGAGAGTTATCCTGGATTCCTCATTCTCTCACCCCCCATATCTAAGCTGTTGCAAAGGCCAGATGACTTCACCTTTGTATCATCTTTCAAATATGTCCCCTTCTCTCTTCTGACACTGCCCCAACCTTGGTGCAGGCCTTCAGCCCCTCACACCTGGACTACTGCAATCGCGGCTGGTGGGTCAGCCTGCCTGAAGTCTCTCCCCACTCCAGTCCGTCCTCTATTTAGCCACTAAAGTGATTTTCCTAAAGCTCAGGTCCAATCATGTTATCCCTTCTACTCAAACTCCAGTGCCTCACTATCACTCCCCCAGGATTAAAACCAAAACACTCTGTTTGGCATTAAAAGTCCTTCATAACCTAGACCCCTCCTACCTTTCTTTTGGGAGGGGGTGAGGCAATCGGGGTTAAGTGACTTGCCCAGGATCACACAGCTAGTAAGTGTCAAGTGTCTGGGGCTAAATTTGAACTCAGGTTCTCCTGATTCCAAAGCTGGAGCTCTGTCTACTGCACCACCTAGCTGCCCCTCCTTTCCAGTCTTCTTACACCTAACTCCTCAACGTGTACTTTTAGGTCCAGTGCTGATGGCTACCTGGCTGTTCCACAGACAAGATACTCCACCTCTCAGCTCGGGGCACTTTCTCTGGCTATCCCCTGTATCTGGAACACTCTCCCCTCTCTGCTCCAACTTCTGACTTCCCTGGCTTCCATTAAGTCCCAACTGAAATTCCTACGCAAAGCCTTCCTTAACCCCTCTTAATTCCAGGGTCTTCCCTCTCTTAATTATTTCCTATTTATCCTGTATATAGCTCACTTTATATATAATTGTTTGCATGTTGTCTCCTTCCATTAGATTGCAAGCTCCTTGAGGGCAGAGATTGTGTTTTGCCTTTCCCAGCACTTAGCACAGTGCCTGACATGTAGTATGTGCTTAATAAATGTCTATTGATTGAATGTCTCAAACCCCCAGGTCATTTTCCCATCTTGCACTTGTAATCTAAGTGTAAGATTTTACATTTATCTCTATTAAACATAATCTTATTTCTATTGATCTTATATCTATAGATTTTATTGATCTAGCCTTGTTTTCTAGATGGTCAAGATTTTTAGATACCAATTCTGCCATCCAGCGTATTGAGCTTTGTATCATCTGCAAACCTGGTTATTTGTTTAGTCATTTTTCAGTCATGTCCCAACTTGAGGTTTTCTTAGCAAAGATACTGGAGTGGTCTGCCATTCCCTTCTCCAGCTCATTTTACAAATGAGGAAACTGAGGCAAATAGGGCTAAGTGACTTGTTCAGGGTCACACAGCTAATAAGTCTCTCAGGCTAGATTTGAACACAGGTCTTCCTGGCTCCAGGCCCAGCACTCTACCCACTGTGCAACCGCCTACCTGCTCAAATCAGATATCCTTTCTCAACCAAATCCCTCAGGCCATCAGCCAGACCTTCAAAGTTGACAAGGAACCCAAGATGGTTTCTTGAGTTTGTCCTCTCAATCAATTCCAAATCCATTTAATAGTACTTTTGATAGGCCTATATAGCTATATCTCTTCGTAGAACTTTAGTAAACCACTTTACAAATTACCCAGAATTCTCCAAGTTTTAAACTAATATTCCTTTTATCTCCTTATTTTAATGGAAAACTGGCTCTCCCCTGGGACCACATCCAATGTAACCCTTTTCATTTGTGGCTCCTCCTCCTCCTCTCTGATTCTGAGAGTCAACAGAATTGGGCATCCATGGACCCTTCATTCTCCAATGCCACTTCTAAGCCACCATTTCAACAGCTTTCCCTTTTTAAGGTTATAGGGTCAGATCTAGAGGCAGAAAGGTGGTCAGACAAAAGTCTAGTCCAATCTCTTATTCTACATGAGGAGCTGAGGCCTGGGGCGGTCAAGTTACTTCCTCAATGTCACAGACAGTGTCAGGGAAGGGACTGAACCCAGGCCTTCCGATTCCAAAACCAGTATCTCTTTTCAGGTCTATGTTCTTTACGTGTACCACCTATTCCTTTTTTGCTGCCATTTATCAATTTCTAATTTATCCTTATCATTTTAAATTAATTTTGGTATCTGGCTTCCAATTCCTGTAATTCCAGTAATCCTCATTACTTGTAGGCAATGACCCTTTCCCCTTTAAGTCCCATTTGTCTTATAGTTTTCTAATGTTTTGTGTAATACTGCCTTGTAGACATCTGTGTTGGTGTCCTATTCTTTTAATAGACTATAAGCTTCCTGAGGGCAGGGGTCTCATTTTTATCTCAGTATTTATTTCCCAGCAAACCTAGAGCAGTGCTTGCCACAGAATACTTTAAACAGGAGTTCCCACCACCAGCCTGGAACAAAACTGAGCTACGGGTTCATGCATGGCTACCACTTGCACAACTAGGTATTAGAGTGATAAGGTCCAGTAAGACACTTTGTTAATGTTCCTTGAAACCCCGCAACTTTAGCATAGGTTCCTGCTAAAATAAAATTTAAAAAAGCCCTCCAAACCTATGACTTTTGAAGAAAATCAGAATCTGTGGGGAGAAGTGGCAAGTCTAAGATTTGGCCTTGATGAAGATGACCTAAACCATAACAGCATCTACAGAAGTTTACTGGATGACATGTTAACTCTTCTCCCATTCACTCCATCTTCAGTGTTTTCAGGTATGGTTGAGTAAATGCTTAACAGAAAGCCTAGTGATGCACAGAAATCTGAGATTCCTAAATGGCCTTCTTCGAGGACCAGTAAGGCAAGTAAGATAGGATATCTCCAAGTCACTTGGAGCCTAATCTCGTCTTCATCTTCAGATTTTCACGTCCCATCCCTAGTTATGAAAAAACAGCTACAGGAGTGATGGAATACATTTATGCAAACGTCCACCCACCCTGTTTCCCTATTCTTTCTTTTATCACTATTCTGTACATGAAGGAGATCTCACACAGTAAAATAAATCATCTAAGACATGACGAATCCTCACCCAAAGCTGTCAAAATTGATGCTTAGGGGCTTCAAAAATAATCATTGCCAAACCACCCCCTCCACTTGAATGAAATATGCAAGACTCCTGGGTTATGTTAATGTATTCCTTATAAAGCAAAAATATTCCCACTTTCTTTGTTACTAAAAAGGAGTGTTCGTTTCATACCCAAGAGGGGAGGAGAAATACATCTCTCACACACAAATGGGTTGTGCCACATGAACCCTATACCTGTGACATACAAGGAGAATGGAGCCGCTGGCCGAAGCATCAGGGAATAGGGACTGAAATGTCAGGGAGTCGACAGCTTGGACAAAAATCAGATGGGAGATGGTAGCAGTAAAGAGGGTTGGGGCAGTACTTAGAGTCCCAAAATATTTAACACAAATTTCCCTCATTTAAGGACCCTTCCATGCCTTCCTAAATGTTGGTTAGAATTTGGACTGGAAATCTCACACCTGAGTACAAACATTACATTTGATGCACTTCAAAAGAACTGATGGATCTTCTCACCATCCAATCGGTTAGCAGTGTGTGAAAGAGCCCAAGGTCCCCATGGACAAACTTATGGAAACACTGGATACTTCTAATCAAGCAAAGGCATTTAGGAAATCCTTACCACAAAATTACGGTAAACATTTATTAAGCTTTAATTTTCACAATATCTTATTTCAGTTCTGAAATCAGCCTACAAATATTTCACTACATTAACATCAATCTGGCGATCATTTAATAAATAAAGGAATGTATATATACCTTTGTAAAAATAAGTTTGATATATTTAGGATTCCCAACAATGACAGCAGTAGACCTGATTCCCCAAGGGTCACATGCCTTGAGTCTTACATACATCACTAGCAATAAATCAAGTTCTTTTACAGGACAAAAAAAAAAAAAAGGAAAGCAAAAACAAAAAACCCTACAACTTTTACAAACTTAAATACTATCTAAATCTGAAATCTGGTGTAGGAAACAATATGAAATCACTACTATCAGTGCCGACAACTGGTGTTATACTTAAAGACACAATTTCCAGTTAGGAATAGGGCAAACAAGAATGACTGTTTCATTGGATGCTGAAGGGTGCTAATCGACATTACCATCACAAGAATTCAATGAAACGCTGGATTCAAGAGATTTAACACATGCGGTTAATTAAGTTGACATTACAGGAAAACCTTTATATTTTTAAAAATAGACATTAAACATATTGTCAATAACTCCATTAGCTGCCAAATAGAGATAACTGGTATGGAATGCGAACCACAGTCAGAAACACGCCATCGAAAAGCCTAAACTGGTACCAGTCTACATTCCACAGGACAGGGCATCGACAAGGCATTTATTTAATAGCAAACAGTCAGAAGAATGCAATAGTCAGGAACAAGGCTGATTTATGCCAGATACTGTACAAGCGTACTGATCGACACCTGATACCAATTAAAAGCACTGTATCACATCCGGAAAAAAGAATTCCATTATCTATAGAGAAGAGGCGGAGCTCTGAAATTTACAAACCGCCCTAGAACAAGGAACTTTTGTAGAACTGTGATGCATTTCAATGCACACCCCGTACATAGCATAGGAGTTTTGACATCTATTAACCCTAACACTTTATAAGATGACAGCTGAATTTATAGTTAGATCAGCCAGTTTCAAAAGCCACCAACAAGTATGAACCAGCAAGAGAGATGTCTTTTTTCTCAAGGTCTGTTTAAGTAGGGGTGGGGAGTTGGGAGGCAGGGGAGTGTCAGGATGAGCAGAAATGAAGCAATTAAAACTCACCCCTGACTATTCTGGGGGCAAGGCAAAGCTGGCATTCGGGAAATCTTGTTGAGAAAATGCAGGTTTACTACTCCCTAATCACATCAATGGGATTGGAGTTGGAACCTAAAGTAAAAATAAGGTGGGAGACAGGGGTGGGAGGTGGAAGGGGGGGTGGGGTGGTAGACAGCAATAGAATTTTGTATGGAAAAATATATTTCAACATATTAAGGGGATGCGCTAAGATGTCACGTGCATACGATGGGACGAGACAAAATTTGCACTGATGAAAAAAAAAATTTCTCCCAAACATTCACATTAACATTCAGTATGGCAACTTCAGAGATTCTATCAAGATGTACAGTTTGCATTTATCTTTTTCAAAATTACTACCCTTAGTAAATAGCCATCATGATATAGATATAGGGGGGAAATTAATACTGATTAATTTTATGTGGTCAGTTTATACTTATAATAGCATCATAGTATTCATTAGAACCTGTCACGAGAAGTATTAGTATTGCTCTGTGTTATTATCCTACGGCATTTAAGATATATAAAACATTGTTCAAGGTATGAGACACATGGTACAAAAATATATTTTTCCACATACAAAAGGGTGAGCTCAAAAGAAAAGGTTGGATGCAAGGGGCAGAGGGGAGTGGTCATATAATATCAGCCTTTCAGCCAGCTGAAGATCTTCTCTACAAAAGCCCCCTTCGTAGATGAAAACAAGCCTGGGCCAATTGTCAAAGGTTTGTATGCAGTATCTTCAAGGTGAATGTTTCTGTCATTAGCATCCAGGATTCTGATCCCTTTTAAAACAGGCAACCCTTTAAGAATGTTATCGCCAGTTAAAGATTCTTCATTTAAAAAGAAAAAGGCATCTCCCTACCTGTATATTAAACAGTATAAAATTAGACACAGATAAGCTTCCATAGAAAAATCAGGCATGAATCTCTTATTTCTTGCTACTCATAGGAATGGTGCCTATCAGACTTATGGTTTCTAGCCTGGGCATTTTCTCTCACACAGAGACATGCTTGTTCCCATGTATGTACATGTACACACACACACACACACACACACACACACACACACACACACCTCCACCTCCCTGTGTCTTCCTTCTCTGGTCTTGTTCTTTGTCCAGCAAGATACCTCTCATGTGTTTTACAACTTTTGAAAAATGAAAAATAAACTAATTCCACTCCAAGAAAAAAAAATTAAAGCACCCACACCAACCAATAAAAAAAGACCTAAAACTCAAGACATTTTGTAGATGACACAGCACGTCCACGTGTTCTAAGGTAGGGAGGAAACTATAAAGCGGTTAAGTATCTACAGAATCAACAATAATTCCAAAAAGTAATTTGAGGAGGGTCCTGAAACCTAAGCAAGAATAAGAATGCTTCCCTTTCCCCTGAGCCCAGCTCCCAGAGATGCTGAAAAGACACGAACTAGAAAGACATGCCTGGAACCATTTCAATGCAGAAAATCGGTGTTTCCACCGATACCCATAAAGCTCAACTGTACTGAATCTAAATGAACACTTCCTGAATTGACAGGAAGCCAATCAAAGCAGCCTTGTGTTGCATTATGTGCACCTTAAAAATAGCAGTTTCATAAAATTCGCAAAAATTGTTTTTCCAAGTTCTTCAACAACAACAACAAAAAACTATGAGGTTGTTAAATTCTGGGTTCTCCAAATCATGAATACTGCTCTGGACAGGACAGGTTTCTTGCTTCCACCAACTCCCCTCACCCCCCCCAAGTCAGATTTCCACTTAGTGGTTTGATAGGGAACCCAAGCACTCAGGTGGTCAGGGAGGAAATCAGTAGGGGAACCACCAGCATCTTAGGGCACCTGTGGGCACATCCACCATCCCCTAAGATCTTGAGGAGCTTCTCTGCACACTTCCCTGAAGTTTTGTCTTTTGTTCCAACGGATTTCACTCAAGCCGATGGGAGCGTACCAACTGGCAAACCAGAACATGTTGGTACTGTTGGTGACTCCCCTACCAAACAAAGCACCCTCAAATCCTTCTATGATTCCAACCTATCGCCCTGTGGTAACTTCTCTAAGGACCACTGAAAATAAGGACGCTGCAGACTTCAGACAAAAAGCACCTGGAGATTCTACTATTAAAATGTTAAGAATAAAACCTGAAGAGTGCTTATTGCTGCCCAGTGGTCCTGAGAGGATGCTTAAACAACTTGCAAGGTGTGTTACCTGTTTTTTTTTTCCTTTCTGAGGCCCCATGCAGGTCTAAGTCAACCCAAAGCTTCCAAACAAGGCAGCCCTTAAAAGAGGCTTCTCAAAGCAAGACCTGCCTGTTGAGAGTGTCAATGTGACCGCCATCTTGCTATCAAACTTCAGACTCAAGGCCCAAAAACATTTCTCTCCCTGATCCTTGGATTTTTACTTTCTAAAACCCTTTGGAAGAAAATCCCCAGTTTCAAGTATGACAAAATACAGAGCAAATCCCAGATCTGCTTGCAAAAATGAATTGTTCATTTAAAGGAGACTTGAGAAAATAAAAATTATTTTTTTTTAAAGGAAACTCAAAAGGGGCAATGACAATTCTAATAATTAGGTCTGTTGGCCTAAACTCAAAGTTTTCTATTTGTTCACACACCAAGTGACACCTGATAACCCAACCTGGGGGGGGGGGCCCTCCCTCAAAGCTTACAACTTGTGAAAATGGAAACACCTCACACGTGGAATCCACGTTGTCTCATTAGAGCTATGAAAACAAATGCTTGAGATTAAGCTTCTCTAAAATGCCAAATTCACATAATCTTCTCCTCACTTTAAAGTTGTAATAGACTTGACTCGATCTGCCTTTATAAAAACCCTACAAAATATGTCTTTAAACACTTGAAAAAAGTAATTGTATGTTCTATGCATGGATAAATTTTTTAGTCTACAGCTAATGTGGGTTTTATTGTTTGAAAAAATATTTTTTTTTTACACAACTAATGGTTCTCAGGGTGTCTCAGTGTCCTACATAAGTTATTTGAAAATTCTTCTCAGCCTAAAGTTGTAATGTGGTCCAATAACCTCACAATGTGCTGTTTTGTTGCTTTGTAACTTTTAGTAAGATAGTGCTTTTTGATTTTCCAAGAGCTGGTGAAAGGTGATTAACCTGGCTCGTCTCATTTGTCACTGTCTCGATCGATGCCTTCGAGCACCCGGGAGAGGCGAATGTTGAGTAGTCTGATCTGGCTATCGAGGTGGTCAATCTTCTCCTCCAGACTGTGGCTGCCCAGGCTGAGGCTGGAGGCACCGCCGCCCCCGCCGGTGCCTCCGCTCCTCCAGTAGAAGCCCACGGGGCCTGTCATAAAGTAAACGGCGACCACTAAGCAGAGGGGCAGGACGGCCTGCTCAGGCTCTCCGTCATACTTCTGCAGGATGTAGACACAGGAGAGGGCAAACAGGGTGACCCTCACAACCCAGAAGAAGCGACCAAACAGGACGTGCAAGAGATAGAAAAGAAATCCCAGGAAGAGGGACAAGAACCAGTAGGCCAGGAGGACAGCGCCGACCAAGAGCAGAGCGCGGGTGGGGTTGTTCGCCACGGCCGCGGGGCTAAAATAATGCGTCAAATTGGAGGCTGAAAAACAGGGAAGAGGAGAAAAAAAGAACTGAATGACCTGCAAGGGATTAGGGGTGCCCCCCTACCCCCCCCAATTCCAATGTGGACACAGACAAGATGGGTACAACATTCAATGCTGACACTTATGGGTCCCCAGAGCAAATCCCCTCCCAGGAACTACCACCTCCCCCCCCTAGACTGTTAGCTCCATGAGGGCAAAGACTGAATCTGTCTCAGGAGTCCCTTGGTGCTAATTTACCACCTCAGTCCTGATCTGACCTCTCCTTGGGGTGGGAGGTCACCCTGGGCTATGCAGAGGAAAGCTCAAACTTGTTATTATTCCCATTTTACTGATGAGTAAACATGACCATGGCACATAGTTAGAAAACTTTCTACAGGAAGTCTTTCCCAATCCCTCTTAATTCTAGTGCCTCCCCCCATTAATAATTTCCTATTTGTCCCGTCTACAACCCGTTGCTTGATTGTGAGCTCCTTAAGGGCAGAGACTGTCTTTTTCTTTCTTTGTGTCCCCAGTACTTAGCACAGTGCCTGACACATGTAAGAGCTTAATAAATGCTTATTGATTGACTGAAAGCATCAGAGGAATGATTCAAACCAGGTCTTCCTGATTTAATTCCAGGACCAGCACTCTACCCACTATACCCAGACCTTGCTAAGCAGACGTCTGCCTTTAACCATGTAGGACTTACCATGCAAGGAAACATTAGTCATCTTGTAACACAGCCAATTCCACTGTTATATAATATAATATAAAATTATACACACATATTGTGTGTGTGTGTGTGTACTAGGTGGCACCACAGTGCACAGAGCACTGGACCTGTGGGCAGGGACAACTCATCTTCCTGAATTCAAATCAGGCCTCAGACACTTACCAGCTGTGTGACCCTGGGCAAGTCACTTCACCCCATTTACCTCAGTTTCCTCATCTGTAAAATGAGCTGGAGAAGGAAATGGCAAACCACCCCAAGATCTTTGCCAAGAAAACCCCAAATGGGGTCACAGAGAGTTGAATACAACTGAACAACTACACACACATATATACACATAGGAGTAGTTTTTCAGCTGTTTTAGTGTATTTGGTTGTCTCAGTTTCCTCATCTCAAAATGGGATAATAACTAGAGAACTGACTATGAAGGGTTGTTGGGAGGATGACACGCCACAGTATAAATAACGTCCCTTGAAAACTTAAAGGACAAGGTACATAACCCACCACTGTCACTAACTGGGATTCCCAGAGCACAAAATGACTGTACCGTAGAAAGGAGACAAAAAGACAGGGGGAAACTGAGTGGGAACGAAAACTCACTACAGAGAACCACCCAAACAAGAAAGTCAAGGTGTCTGTGCCGAGCATTTTGACTACCGCTGATCCCCTCCCTTTCCCATTTATTGACTGTCCTCTCACATCTGAGTGAGAGGGCACAGAGGGCTGGGGCACCACTGTTCCTATTTCACAGGTATGAAAACTGAAGCCCAGAGGAATCAGTGGGGGCCAGGCCCTAGCTCTCTGGGGGTCTGGTCACTGATTTAGCACCGGCCCCTCAGCAAGGATGCAGACGCTGCTCCCTTAAGGTTCGTGTAGCTGCTGCCCTGTCACATGCAATCTCCTGTAATCAGGTTCAGTTCTTCAGGGCTTGCTGGAAGAGATTTCATAATCTGGGAAGATGGTAAACACAGAATCTACATGGGATTGCAAGGAATTGCTTTATCTGACTTATCTCCCAAGAGCCGCTGTTAAAGGTCCCAGTGGGAAAAGAGGAGGCCAAAAGCAACCCCTGAATGAGCCAGACCGCTCTCCTCAAGGCATTCACAGTGACCTGGACTCGAAGAGGCAGAGTCGAAAACCGGGCCTGTCTGTCAGACACACAAAGCAGCGAGCCCTCAGAATCATTCACTGACCATTCTACAAATATTAAGCCCCTCTATTATGTGCCAGGCACCAGAGGTACAAAGACAAGAAGGAAACCATCTCTCCCCTGAAGTAGTCTACATCCTACACCCATATGGAGATAAGTCAGTAAAAGTAAATTTTCAGAGGGCTACAGCAGGGCAGGCAGGCAGACAGGCAGGCACTGTAACAACCGGAGGGATCAGCTGAGTGGTGAAGGGAGCTAGGGGTTCCAGGAGGCGTTAAGGGAGAGCCTTCTAGTCACGTACAAGGAAGAGCATACAAGGAGAAGGGTGAAATCAGTGTGCACAGGTCACCAAGAGGAGGAGTCTGTCCTTGGTACAGAAGAACAGACAGCCAATGAGGCTTCTTGAGCAGAGGAATGACATCCGTGCTCTGGGAAATGCCAGTGTGCTTGCTGGGCAGAGGAGGGAGAGGGAAGCGTGTGCAGGGGGGGAGGCTAATTAGGTAACAAGGGCCTGAGGTGTAGCCCAGGCTCAGTTACTGGTCCCAAAGACCCCCCTCACCCCCGAAAAAGAGTGCAAAGCAAACAGAGATACCAGCTACATACAGACAGATGGCAAAATGAAAGGAGACCCTCCCTGGGCCTATGCCTCGACTGGTGTTAAGGGGGAACCATAACACCACCTACCCCTTGATAGAAGTGAGGTGATGAGCAAGCTAGGAATGTGGTCAGAGGGAACCAATGCCCCAGAATACCGTCGCCTATTCCAGACTCCGAAGTACTGATCCGCTCCCTGACCCAATCAAACACGGCCAGTTAGCAGAAGAGTCGACAGTCTACCTACCGTCGATTCCGAGAACGTCCAGCAGATCAGTCCAGAGTCTCCACAATGTCTCCACTAAGACGTCCACGCCATTTACAAACCTCTCCGTTGACCTGGAGAAAAACTACAAAGACCAAGAAATAAAAAAAGAGTTGGTAAGGAAGTCCATGAATTCATTTCTCCAATTTCTTCCACGACCTGGTCACGGGATGGACTACCTATGAACTTCTGTTCCCTGCCCAAGATAAAAAGTTTTAGAAATGGGCGGGGAGTGGGAATGGAGGAAGACAGACAATGAGGACAGTCTGGTGGGGGGCCAGAAGTAAAAAGCTTCTACAAACACAAAACCCCTGGCTCAGGCAGCATGCGAGGCAGGAGGGGGAGTGGGAGAGGAGGAAGAGGCTATTCTCCAGTGTGCCCTTCAGGGAAAGGTCATCTGTTCAAAACTGGACCACAACTTATGGCCACTTAATGATTCTGAAGTAATCCGTTCCCTTTCCCTAACATCCTGTTTTGCCTCTTGTGTGGACCATGAGCTGGTTAATGTGGAAGATATAATAATGAGACAGAGGTGCCGAAGGATTGCGAGTTCTTATGCTAAATATAAATAAAGACAAGGGGCTGACTTCATTATCAATCCAATATGCTGGTTGGGCTGTCCTCCTATGGAGAAGGAAGAAAGGAGAAAAGAGGAAAGAGAAAAGAGGAAGAATGCAGCCATTCTGAAGGAACCCAAGGACCTTTTGAAGCCACATTCAGAACAATACAGCCACTAAAGGACGCCATCTTGTTATCTTCAAATAAATCAGGCCTGTCTCCAGGAACAATCATCTGGGACCCTATGAGAAGTCCAAGATGGGTCAATGTACTGACCCCTGAGAGCTAAAAACAGATTCTAGGGGAGAGGGAGTAAGCAGCCCAGCAGAATCCAAGAGGCTCACCACCTTCAAGGCAGGAGTGGGTGACTACTCTTACAGTGATGCACCAGTGAGGAAATCTGAGCTCAACCAAACCAGGAGTAGGGAGAAAAAGTGTCCTCAGCAAGGACTTTAGGGAGAAAGGGCTGGCAAAAAGGCCAACTCAGGATGGCGAAAACAAATGGCCCTCCAAATAGGACCTGCAAGGTTGTTTGCTGTGTGGAAGGGGAATTAGATTTCTTTTGTTTCACCAAAAAGATGAAGAAGACCAAGGGGAGGATGGGGGAGTGAGGGAGGATCCTCAGAAAGGGAAGACTTCCTAAGAATTAGAGATGACTACCATGCTATGAGAAACACATGTGAGGAATTTAGAGAAGCACAGAAAGACTTACATGGACTGATGCAAAGTTAGATGAGCAGAACAGCCATGACCGTAACATAAATGGAAGGAAAAACAAAACTGATTTCTTCTAACTGTAATGAATAAGCCTGGCCCCAAGAAATGTGAAAATGTACCTCCCTTCCCTTCTTTGCCAAGGCAGAAGAACAACAGGGATGGATTCTGCATCTACTGTCAGACTCAATGTGTAGGTTGGCTTTTTTTGACTTGTCTTTTATAAATTTTTTTTATTTTAAATTTTTTATTTTTCTTTTCACTTCCAAATTCTCTCACCCCATCTCTCACCCATTGTGAAGGCAAGAAATACAATATTCACTATTATATACATGAAAACCAGCCTTTTTAAAAAAAAAGTTAATAACAGCATTTATATGATGCTTTAAGGTTTACAAAGCACTTATCAGTACCAATGGGGGGGAGGGGGCACAACACGACCACCGCGTCGTCTCAAAGTAGAATATCAGCTGCCTCAGAAGACAGTGAACAGTTTCCGCTCACTGGAAGGCTCCTGAGCAAATGAGGAATAACCTCTTCTTATGAATGTTGTAGAGAACATTCTTGTTCAAATTTGAATTGAACTAAATAAATAGTCTGTGGTTTTTTAATTCTGAAATCCCTTTTTGGGGGGTTGGTATTTTAAAGGAAAGTCTCAAGAAATTCCCCATCCCACCACTCACATTTGTCATGGATCCTACGGGCTTTGTTGTGGTATTAATAGAGTAAAAAATTCTAAACCACTCTAAGCTACTTCCAATCTGATAGCTGAGGGAAATTTACCTTGTCCAGGGCCCAAAGTGCCATTGAGCAATCTAATATACCCTTAGGGAAGAAAGCAAACCAATTAGGATCTTTTACTGAAAAGGAATCATGCCCCAGTGAAAAGCTACAGAATTCAAAGATTAAAAGACCTGGCTTTAAGTACCAGCTGTGCCACCTGCTACCACCTGGAGGGCCTTGTGTAAATCAACCTCTTTGGGCCCGAGTTCCCTCACCTATAAAACAATCAAGGTGGGCCTTGCTGATCTGGAAGGACTGTTTCAAACTCTAAAGTTGGGCCACTTAAACTGAGAAATTACCTATACAGGGGTGGGGAACCTGTGGCCCCGAGGCCACATGTGGCCCTCTAGGTCCTCGAATGCAGCCCTCTGACTGAACTGCACTTGAGGACTTAGAGGACCACATGTGGCCTCGAGGCCACAGGTTCCCCACCCCTGGAACTTGGCCAAAAAAAAAGAGCAGAAGGTCACTTGTCTTTTCAAGAAATACACTTAGAAAAAAAAAAACACACACACACACACACAACAAAAAAAATTCCTTATTTCCCAGTAGACTTGAATTGTTTGGCTAGGGGTTGCTTTCTTATTAAACTTTTTGAGAACATTGAGACTTTCTGGTGAACATTAAGATCTTCAAAGCGATCTAGGGGACAATCTGGCCCTGGTGTAATCAACCATTTGACCAGGAACCTAAAGTAAGGCAGCCAGTCAAGTCACTGCTGGGGGCGGGGCCCAATCTGCTGAGCTCTGCCTCACCACAATCAGTCATCTGGCCACCTGGGCCCCTTGCAATGCTGCCCAGCGCCATCTCTCCCTCTCCCTCTCCCTCTCCCCAACTCTCCTGCAAAATTGCAAGCGGCCTCCAAGAAAATTGAGCTGTGGCCTGGAAAAGGCTTCACCACAAAGGGACGATGAGGCACAGAGGGGGGGCGGGGGGGCCCATCTCTGCCAGCCCTGAAGGCAAACCTACTCTATGAACTTCGGAAAGATAGGACAGATATTCGCTCTGTTATCTTTGCTGCTCACACAGGGGCAAGCCCAAAGCAGACAAAGCCTTGCCCTCCCTCTCCCAAGGGTTTGGCTCCTCTTTAGCTCCTACAACTCTGGAGGCAGAGCACAGCTTTAAGACCATTTACTTGCAATACTTGCAATACTCTTTCCTTACAAGTAAAGAAACCAGACTCAGAGAGGGAGGTGTCTTGTTCAAGGTCACCGAACTGAGTGACTGAGTTAGCAGCAAACACATGCTCCATCCAACTAGGCAGGCTGCTGTGGGCTCCCAGGCCACGTCCCACTCCTTACCCGCTTGGACTCCCTCCTTCAGAGCTCAGGGCCCCTGCATGGGGCCCTCGGATTTCTTACGGCCATGTCTCTTTCTCTGTATCTGGCCTCCTCCAGCACTCTGTGTCCCATTTCTTTTGTCTCACTTGGCATGCAGCGCCCTGCAGGGCCATTTAAATGTTTCATGTACACATGTATGCTCTCCAACCAGATCACAAGCTCCCTGAGCATGGAACCCATGGCTAGGCTTGTATGTACCATCCTACCTCTATACCAGTTTGTACTACAACCTCTACACCAGCAGCTAACATTTATATATCACTTACTATATGCCAGGCACCATGTTAAGCATTTTACGATTATCTCACTTGGTCCTCACAATAACCCTGTAGAGTAGGTGTTACTCTTATCCCCATTTTACAAATGAGGAAACTGAGGCAAACAGTGGTGAAGTGACTTGCCCAGGGTCATACAGTCTGAGGCTAGATTGGAACTCAGGTCTTTCTGACTCCAGGCCCAGGGCTCTATCCACTGCCCCAAGTACACATTAAGCTCTCATTTCACAGCAGTCTGGTACTGAACCTCAAAGCCCTTTAGGCAGGTCCAAGGAAATCACAGGATCGTAGGCCCAGAGCTAGAGGCCACAGAGTCCAACCCCCTCCTTTTACAGATGAAAGGTGAGGCTCAGGCAGGTTAGGGGACTTGTCCAAGGTCATACGGGCAAATACGCATCAAAGGTAAACAGTTTGCTAGCAGGGTCAACCATCTACACCAGCCACTTCAGAAATCTCCCAAAGAAAGAAATTTGCTGCCATCTCAAACAGGGTCATTCAATTCACCAGATTTCCAAAGGAGACATTTCTGTCTAGTTCTTAAAACTGGATGGAGGGACACACCTTTTAAAAGTAAATATACAACAGCACTTTTTTCCCCCCAAGGCTAGCTCTATGACTCTGGACCAACAGAAAGCCAGAATGTTCCTATCAGACACACAGCTACACACACACAAACACACACCCTCTCCCAATGACTGACATTTATAAGGTGTTTTGCAAATGAAGCACTTACATTCTCTCCTTAGAGACTCTTTCATCAGACAGTTATCCCCATTTGAGAAGGGAGGTTAAGTGACTTTTCCATCTCACACATTTGACGTACTGGATTCGAACTTGGTTCTTCCTTACTGGGTCCAGCACTCTTACGAACTCTGCTTGATGTCTAACCACCATGTCATACCTTTGGAACTAACCAAAGCAATCCTAATAAAGACCCATTAAATGAGCTTTATTGAAAAGCTCAGGCTCTACCAGTATCCACTCTTTTTTTTTTTTAAAGATTCAAAAATAAATGCATGAACTGCCAAATGAGGTGGTAGTTACATTCCATGGAAAATCAAATCAGTACAAAGTAGGACTTTCTTTGTCCTGAATTTATTTTGACTTGAGAGACACTATGGCCTAAAATGGCAGCCCTGAGCCATGAGGACCCGAGTTCAAGTCTCACCTCTGACACAGGGTAAATCACTAACCCTCTCAGGGTTCTCACTACCAACGGCAGAGCAAGTGCCAATAAGGGGCAACAAAGGGCGTTTCTCATCCCAATGAAATCACAGGACAAGTTAAAGATAAAAACAAACTCTTGATTTCCTCTAGATTTGGAATCAAGGACCTTGGATTCTAATCCCAACCCTCCTATTTATTAGGTGTTTAACCTTGGGCAATCTGCTTATACTCTGTGCCACAATTTCCTCATCATGAAAAGAGGGGATTATACTTAATGCCCTTTAAAGATCCTTCCTATTCAATCAATTGGTAAACATTTATTAAGAGCTACTATAGGCCAGGCACTGTGCTAAGCAAAGAAGCAAAAGACAGTCCTGTCCTCAAGGAGCTTACAATCTAACCTAATACTCTAAATCTATGTTACACTATAAGACCTTCTTCAAGATTCAAAGCCTCCTTTTAGTTTCTGGTGAAGAAATTAACACCTTGTTCCACAGACTTGATACAAGTCCTTTTATGAAACAAGCTAATGTTTTGGAGAACACTCGCTCCCCACTTTCTCTTTGTCTTGCTACTATGTTTAGATCCCTTAGGCTGGAAATCCAAAGACTGCGTTATACTTCAGAGATAAAAAGCAAGTCCTATAGCCAGATAATTCCTCATAGGAATGATAGATTAGGATAGGATGGTTAAGTGAAAGCTACAAAAATACATAATCCCAACAAGGTCATTTGTTGAAAAAGTCACTCCACCAAACTTTTTAGTAAAGGCTAACAAGGCTGAGGGTCTGGTTTGGAGGTGCCTTGGTTCTCCATCTCTCTAAAAGGAAACCTTTGACTCACATGCTCTCCCCAATTCTTCCAGAGCTAGAATACTCCAGTTTCTTTTCTTCTGGATATCAGAGGTACCAGTCAATAACTTTAGTTCTTAGAATTGGTCTAAGTACCTACCATTTAGGGGGTAAAAAATGCACAGCCCTTAGAAGAAGCAGAATATTGAGAAAGATGAACAAAGGTCATTACTTCTGGGAACTCTGCCAGTATCAGCAAGTGCCTCAACTGTTCCGGATAGATCCTAATCAGTGCCCTGTACCTTGTCCCACAAACCTAATGTTGGAGGCCACTGGGTGCCGCTGTCAAGGCAACAACTTGTACTTTCCCTACCTCTGTTCAGTGAGGAGATAATAAGGCCAGAAGACAGCTTCTAAATCAAACAGTTAAAAGTTTTATAAAGAAAGAAATAAGAGAAAGAAAGCCAAATGTGAGTGCAACTCAAGAGAGTTGAGTCAGGAAGGAGTGCCAAGGGCACTTTGTGCCCAAGCTCTGCTGGATTTCCCTAAAGAGGATAATGTGCTGTTAAGTTTCCCCGCAGAAGTGGGTTGAGGCTCTGTCGTGGTAGGATGAAAAACCCTAATAAGACTAAACTAGGTGGTATTTACACAAGGTACTATGAGTTGGGGGGGGGGGGGTGTCAGTCTACTTAGAGAAATCTTTTTTCATTTCTTGGATGAGGTGAGGGGAGTGAGGCCCACCCAGGCCCCACTCTGAGTCCCAGATTCTCAGACGGTTCAGCTAAGGCTAAGGCCAGCACCACCACCCCCATTCCCCACTGTGAAACAATCAGTTAAAAGGGCTGCAGTGAGCCTTCCTTGGGGGTCCCCCGAGGCCAGGGCCCGGGCAGTTCGGCGCAGTCCACCAAGGAGCTAGGGCCAAGGAGAAAATCTAGGGTGAGGTGGGATTTGTAAGACAGCAGGATGACCAGAGAGGGAGCCCCAGGTACCCACGAACCAAAGTGACCTTCGTTCTCAGCCCCGACCCCAGAGATGGATGGGGGGCAGCGAGGGGCAAGCTGGAGAGAGAAGCCCTCCCCTCCCAGGACCCTAGGCGCGTCATAAATGCCCCTGGGCCACATGGCTCCTCCCGAGGCTGAGGGGGGCTCCCACAATCCTGGGGGACCCCGGCACTCCCAACTGACCCCCGCCGCTTCCCCAGCCTGCCTCCCCGGGTGAAGATGCCCAGAGGCAAGGTGACCCCAGCGGCGGAGGCGCACGGGGAGCGCACGGGGGTCGCCCCACCTTCTGCACGGCTCGCACGTTGTCCTCCCCGCACAGGCTGCTCACGCTCTGGTAGACGCCGCTGGCCGCCCGGCGGAACGTGTTCTGCTTGTCGGCGCCGCGACCCCGCGCAGCCTGCGCGCCGGGCCCCAGCAGCAGCAGCAGCAGCAGCAGCAGCAGCAGCGGCAGCAGCGCGACCAGCTGCACAGGGGGCCCGGCACGCGCGCCCATCGTCCGTCCCGTCAGCTCGGCGAGCCCCGAGGACCCCGGCACGGCCTCCTGCGCGTCCCCTCCGGCCGCCGCCGCCGACTCCCGCACGCTCTGCCCCGGCGCCCGCCCGCGCCTCCGCCGCCGCCGCCGCTCCCGCGCTGCTCCAGCTGCGCTCCTTCCGCTTCCGCAGCTTCGCGCAGCGCCCCCGGCGGCCGCCGCCGCTCCACTCCACGCCACGCCGCGCGGGCCCGGCCCCGCCCCCGCGCGCACCTCGGCCCACGCGGGCTTGGAGCTGGAGGAGAGAACGCGAACCGGAGCCCGGCGCAGGAGCGGGACCGAGGCTCTCCAGCTCCCTGTGCGCGCTCACTCCCCTGGGGCCCCCTCCAGCCACCCCAGACCCCCAGACCCCCGCGCATGTCTCCTTCCTACCTTCCCTCCTTCCTTCCTTCCATCCATCCATTCATTCATCCTTCCATCCATCATCCTTTCTTACTACTTTCCCTCCTTCCATGCATCCATCCATCCATCCATCCTTTCCTCCTTCCTTCCAGCCATCCATTCATCCATCCTTCCATCCATGCATTAAATGGTTTAGTGAAAAGTGGTTGAAAACGATGACTATTGTTTTCAGACCTTAATGCTTGTGCTTTCCCTCTAAGATATGTCTCCAATTTCTCCTGTTTGTTCATACTGATTTGCATAGGTATCTTCCCCACCCCGCAGCCCCCATTAGATTGTGAACTTTGTGAAGGCAGGAGCTTTTCTTCTATGTATCCCCAGTGCTTAGCACGGTGCTCCGCACATAGTAGGTGCTTAATGAATGCTCCTTGGTTTGACATATACACATACAGGCAGCTTTTCCCATCCCTTCTTAATTCCAGTGCCTTCTCTGTTAATTATTTCCTATTTGTCATGTATATGGCTTGTTTTATATTGATTTGTTTGCATGCTGTTTCTAGATTGTAAACTTCTTGAGGGCAGGGACTGTCTTGCCTCTTTTTGTATTCGCAGCATTTAGCACAGTGCTTAGCACATAGTAGGTGCTTAATGAATGCTTGTTGATTTGACATATATAATTGTTTGCATATTGTCTTTTATATTAGACTGTGAGTGAGCTTGGTGAGAGTAGGAGCTGTGTTTTGCCTTATATGAGTCCCTAGTGCTTAGCACTGTGCCAACTAAACTCCCGCCTTCTGCAATGTTTGTTGATTGGTAGTAGGTGCTTCATAAATAACAAAAATAATCATTGAATCCGTGATTTAAGAACCATTGAGATAGAACTTAAAGGGATTTTAGGGACCATCTATCTAGTCCAAGCCCCTCTTTCCATTTGAGGAACTAAGGCCCAGGAAATGAAGTGACTTGCCCATGGTCACACTGGCAGTAAGTGACAAAGTCAGAATTCAAACCCAGGTGTTCTGAAACCTCTAACCTAGTAATTTCCCCAGAAAGTTGTTCCCAGGAGTTTCATTCATTCAACAAACATTTATCAAGTGCCCACTTTGCAATATGATGGGAGAAGTACCGACTTTAGATGGCACAGGGTCCCTGTCCACCTGGTTCTTTTGAGTAGAAAGTTAAGCTGCAGCCATAGAGGCTACTATGGAAATGTGCTTTGCCTTACTTGACATGTCTAATAGATATTGTATTGCTTGCTTTCTTAAGGAGTGGGGAGGGGCAGGAGGGAGAGATTTTAGAATTCAAATTTTTAAAAAATGAATGTTAAAAAATTTTCTAAATATAGTTGAGAAATACTTAATTAAGCAAATATACATACAACCATAGGGAATCACACACAATAGCAATTAATTAGTCAAAACCTCCACTAAAATTCTCCTCCGATGCCTTTTGTCTTTGGTTTTATTTTGTATTGTTCCCCTTCATATGCTCTCCGTTCCAGTCAAAATGACCTGGTAGATGTTCCCCATATAGAATATTCCTGGGCCTTTGCCCAGGTTGTCCTCCGTGTTTGGAACGCTCTCCCTTCTCCTCCTCCACCTGGTAGAATTTTTAGCTTCTTTCAGAAAACAGCTAAGGTGTCACCTCCTCCGGGTGAGTCTTTCCCGATCTCCCCACCAGATTATTCTGTATTTACTTTGTATATCGTGCTTTATATATGTAACTTGGCCAGAGTGAAGACAGAGAGGATTTGACCCCAGCCCTGTGGCTTCAAATGCACTGTTCTTTGCAGCGTACCCACACACCACACTAGGCTCTGCTAGGCAACAGACAGCCTCGCTAAGAGCAGAGAAGCTACTTGCCAGCCTGGCCAGGTTGATGCGTTGATGAGGAATGAAAGGCAAAGGGGAGCTCACATCTGTGCTGATGGAAGGAGTTTCCACATTGATGAAACCACTAATCCTTGCAATATTGAAGTATAAATGCATTACTACATAGACAGCTCCTGACAGAGAGGTGATGACCTCCATTTACAGAAGGAGAAACACATTTTGGGAAGATGAATGCAGAAATTTGTTTTGTTTGACTATGCATGTTTGTTACAAGGTTTCTGTTTTTATTTGTTTTTGTTTTTTTCCCTGGGGGTTGGGGAAGATTGGGAGAGAAAATAAAAGCTTGTTCATTGAAAAGAATTAATTAAAAAATACAAGTGCATTAGAGGATTGCAATGTGCAGCCTGAGGGTATTGTGTGGGGAGAGATTCTGAAAGGCTGTATTTGAATTGGGTGAGTGGACAAAAGAGATGGGGAGGGATGCAGAGGTTTGAGGAGGAAGGGCATTTGAGGCTGGTTGATTAGCTTAGCAAAGACACAGAAGTGGGAGAGCTCAAAAACAGAGTGTTAAACTGTAGCACAGAGTGGGGGGGGCGAGTAACATGGAATCAGGCTTGGGAGGGTGGAAAGCTCCACATTGGGGAGAATCTTCAATGTCAGCAGCAAAGGGGTTTGAGATTTACTTGAACAAAGGAATGACGTGGCCAGATCTTTGGGTAAAATGAGTTAGACAGCAATATGAAGGAGGGATGAAAGGAAAGAGTGGAAGCAAGAGGATTGGTTGGGAAACTTTTGCAAGAATTCGGGTGGATGGTAATGGGGTGCTAGCTCCCTCTGAACCTGGAGCCCCCTTCCAATAGAGAACCCTAATAAAGTAGTCAACAAGCATTTGTTAACGTGCTGCCCACCTCCTGATAGAAAGGTGGTCTTGGAATGCACAACGAGACACCGTTTTTCTGGCTGTGGCCAATGTGGACATTTGTTTTGATGCACTATATAGGTTTGTAAGGGTTTTGTGTTTCTCGTGTCCTCATGAGATTAGAGTGGGAGGATGAGAAGGCAGATCTTGATTGATTAAAACAAATAGAATATTTAAAAACCAAACAAGAATTTGTTAAGTGTATAACAAGTGCTAGAATTGGGGATATGAAGACAAAAGTGAAACAGTCCCTGCCCTCAGAGAGCTTACATTCTATTCCTGGAGACAACGTGCATGTGTCTAAGTAGATGCACATATATTTATAGGCATAGAAATATAAGGTAATTTCACTAATGGAGTGGGGGGGGGGGTGGAGATTAGGAAAGGCCCCAGGTTGGCAATTGAATGAGCTTTGAAGAAAACCAGAGACTCCAACAGGCCATGAGAGGAAGAAATCTGTTTCAGGTGTGTGGGATGGCTTGTGCAAAGAATGGAGGCCGGAGATGGGAGGTTGTGTGTCAGAAGCAGCAAGAAGGCTCATTGGTGGACCGTAAATTCATGATGCAATATATTTGTTGTTGTTGCTTATTTGTGTCTGACTCTTCGTGACCCCATTTGATGTTTTCTTGGCAAAGACACTGGAGTGGTTTGCCAATTCCTTCTCCAACTCATTTTGCAGACAAGGAAACTGAGGCAAACAGGGTGAAGCGACTTGCCCAAGGTAACAAGGGTAGTAAGCATCAGAAATGGGATTTGAACCCACTCCAAAGGAGTTAGTGCTCTTTTCACTGTATAGAAGATAGGTCAGAAAGGGTAGAGACGAGTCAGAGAGAGAGACTTTTTTAAAATTAAATGTATTTATTTATTTTTAGTTTTCAACATTTACTTGAATTCTAAATTTTCCCCCTCTCAGGGAGAAAGACTTTTGCAATAGTCCAGGTTTGAGGTGTTGATGATAAGGGGGCTTGAGTGGAGAGGAGGTATGTGGAGGTAGCATTGACAGGACTTAACAACTGATTAGATGTGTGGAGTGAGGGAGACTTGAGGAGGCAGAGTCAAAAATGACTTAGCCAAGTGACTAGGATGGTAATTCCCCTTTCAAAATAAGGAAGTTCATATGCCCAAAGGGCAATCAAACTGTGCTTACCCTTTGATCCAGCAATAGCACTACTAGGTCTGTATCCCAAAGAGATCATAAAAACGGGAAAAGGACCCACATGTACAAAAAATACTTGTAGCAGCTCTTTTTGTGGTGGCAAAGAATTGGAAACTGAGAGGATGCCCATCAGTTGGGGAATGGCTGAACAAGTTGTGGTATATGAATGCAATAGAATACTATTGTGCTATAAGAAATGATGAGCAGGGAGTAAGAAGTAAGTTGCTCTCACCCTCCCTTATTAACCTCTGAAAGCCCAGAAAATATTGTCCCAGTAAAAACCCTGGAATAGCTGAACCAGAAGAAAGGTGGGGTGCAGCAGTCCGGTAGCCTAGGTAGCTTGAGGGATTAGTGGGAAAGGCCCCTCTTGGGGAAGATGAGGGGGGAAGGGGAGCAGTACAGATGGGAGGCGTCCCTACAAGCTAGTGGAAAGCCCCACCTCAGCATACCAGGAGGAAATCCTAAACCCCAGGTGGTGGAACAGGCAAACACCAACACCCAGACCCCTGAGTACCTCAGTAAGGGCAGGGGAACCAGTGGAAACTGGCTCAGAAAACCACCAGGTGCTACGGCATTCTCTGGCAGCCAAGTCTCCCAGTGCCTCAGCAAAACTCTGGGTAGGGCAGCTCCAAGGGGGAAAGCCCCAGGCAGAGAAACATCCTACAGCAGCGAAACATCCATCTTTGAGGAGCCCGAGAAAGCAAAAGGCCCGGTT